AAAGTTGTGTGTGACAAAGTTGTGTGTGAAAGATGGGATGAGGGCGGGAGGAACGCAAGGACGGAAGGATGGAAGAGCGGACGAGATACAGAAGCAAAAACAAGAAGCCCATACAAAGATGTGGGGCAAGTCGTATTTGAGAGAGACGGACTCACTTGCAGCGTGGATGTCACCAAATGCTACGCTTGCCAGGCAAAACGAAGGTTGATGTGAGAAAGGGCCACGCCTGCCACGCAAAACGTAGATGGATGTCGCCAAGCGCCACACCTGCCACGCAAAGTGCCGCGGCGCCCCGGGCGACCAACGGGCCGCAAGCGCGGCACCAGACCCAGCCTAGTGCCATAAGTGCCACGCCTGCTACGCAGAATGCACGTCGATGTCGCCAAGTGCGATGCTTGCCACGCAAGGTGAAGGTGGATGTCGCCAAGCACCTGCCACACAAACAGCAGCGGCGTCCACGGCGTCAACCGGGACCCCAGCACGCCACCAGAGCCTGCCCAGTGCCATAAGTGCCACGCCTGCCACGCAGAATGCCCATCGGTGTTGCAAAGCGCCACGCCTGCCACGCAGAATGCACCTCGACGTCGCCAAGAGCCACGTGCCACACAAACAGCCGCGGCGTCCACGGCATCAATTGGGACCCAAGCGCGCGACCAGCCTGCCCACTGGCATAAGTGCACCTGCCACGCAGAATGCACGTCGATGTCGCCAAGTGCCACGCCTGCCACGCAAAGTGAAGGTCGATGTCGCCTCGCCAAGTGCTACGCCTGCCACGCAAAGTGAAGGTCGATGTCGCCAAGCGCCACGCCTGCCACACAAACAGCAGCGGCGACAACGGCCCCGGGACCCAAGAGCGCCAACAGAGCCAGCCCAGTTCCACAAGTGCCACGCCTGCTGCCAAGCCTGCCAGAGTTGCGTGTGAGTAAGTTGTGTGTGACAGTTGTGTGGACACAAGTTGTGTGTGAGCAAGTTGTGTGTGGACAAGTCGTGTGTGTGGACAAGTTGTGTGTGAGCAAGTTGTGTGTGAGCAAGTTGGATGTGAGCAAGTTGGATGTGAGCAGTTGGATGTGAGCAAGTTGGATGTGAGCAAGTTGTGTGTGTGTGTGGGTGGAAAGTTGTGTGTGACAAGTTGTGTGTGACAAGTTGTGTGTGAGCAAGTTGTGTGTGAGCAAGTTGGATGTGAGCAAGTTGGATGTGAGCAGTTGGATGTGAGCAAGTTGGATGTGAGCAAGTTGTGTGTGTGTGTGGGTGGACAAGTTGTGTGTGAACAAGTTGTGTGTGAGCAAGTTGTGTGTGAGTAAGTTGTGTGTGAGCAAGTTGTGTGTGAGCAAGTTGTGCGCGAGGAGGCGGAGGCCGGAGGAGGAGGAGGACGAGGAGGAGGAGGAGGAGGAGGAGGAGAAGGTGGCAGGCGGGAGTGCACAACCAAAAACAAGAACCCCACACAAAGATGTGGGGAATTGAGGAAGTCTCGCAGAATTGCTTCGTTTTCAAGCTTGCAGATAGACAGATAGACAGACAGACAGACAGACAGATAGATAGATAGATAGATAGACAGACAACTACAACTACAAGTATACAAATATACTGCGCTACATTACGTTACTTCACTGCACTAATTGCAGTACACTACGCTAATTACATTACAACTGCAACTACAGTTGCATCTGCAGCTACAACTACAACTACATTACAATACACTATATACACTAATTACACTACATTATTTACACAACACCACACTGCAACTACAACTAAAACTACACTAAGTTACACAACACTACGCTACACTAATTACACCACACTACACTACACTGCAACTGCAACTGCAACCGCAACTACGACTACACTACATTACACTGCACTACGCTACACTACGCCACGCCACGCCACACTACACTACAATGACCACTACAGCTAGAACTACACTAAATTACACTGCATTAGAGCACACTACGCTATACTATACTACAGCACACAACACTACAGCACACTACACTACATTACATTACACTAATCACACCACGCCGCAGCTACAACTGCAACTGCAAGTACAACTACACTACAGTAATTACATTATATACGCTACAACTACAACTCCACCACGCTACAGCTACAATTACAACTGCGTTGCGCCACACTACATCCAGCAGTTGTGGGCGAGGTGACCACTGCAACCAGTGCAACCCCTCCAAAAAAACACAACTCCAACCACCTTACGGTCCATCAGTGGATTCGCTCTGCCATCCATGCATCACAACAGCTCACCTTTCCTATTGTGCCCTATCTTTGAAACTTCCCCCACCGCCTTGCGCGGTACTACTGGTAGGATGATTGCCGCTGGCAAGCAAAATAATTTTCTATGAGGGAAAACACATCTTTTCAAGGAATGCATTGCATTGCCCTTATTGACACGAATGCTGCATGTTGAAATGCGGGCTCCAGATCGAACAAAAACACGCGGCATGTGGTGCAAAATCATTGCCTCTTTAAAGGGATACCGGAAAACTGCACTTTGCGAAAGGAACTTTGCATCTTTTAGAGGAATGACCCATAATTTGCAGAGATACTTTTTTTTGACAAAAAACAGGGTATTATCTTAAATGAAAAATGCAGCTAATTAATGAAAAATGTTTCCTTACAAGAAGAACATGTGTCTTTGCTGTATTGACTACTACACTTCAGAACAGGAATGCAGTATTTTTAAATCATGCTGCATATTCTGCACGGATATGTCCATTTTCAAGGGATGCCGTACCACTTTAAAGAAGGGTGTGTGTGGAATGTGTGTGTTTGAAAAGAAGGCAGTGTTTCTCAAAAGAAACACTGCATCTCAAAAAAATGCTTGATGTTTTGCAGGGGTGATGGAAGGGTTGCTTGCACAGCTGTTTCAAGGTTGTTAAGGTGCAAATATGTCGTACGTTTTCTACTGGATTGTGTGCATTTATATTGGTTCTTGCCTTATCACTCCATTAATTTGGATGACAACATAATTCACAAGATGACTCTTACTCTTAAACAAGAAAACGTTGTTTTTTAGTTGCGTTGTGTGGAAACGACCTATACCCAAGAACTCTTGAATGAAACCCTGACTCTTGTGGGCCTACGGCAATGTTTGATGTATGATTGGGTGGAAAATATGTGCTTAAAAGTGCAGTGCGGACTGAAGCTGTTCATGAAATTTGGAACAACATTATTTGGGTTTTGCAAAAAATGCAGCCCACCTCAAAATCTGCCACTCACATCAGGCCCCTCCTTACAAAAAAGGTGCTCTTCTTTTGCGCATGTGCGAACTTCTGCCTCATGTTTTTTTCTATTTGCAACATGTCGACCTGAATCCTTTTAGGACACGCAAGAAGGATATTCTGGACCTTGAGAAGGACACTGTTCTGATGCCAGATTGCAGTGAATTGCCAGTTTCACCATCTGCAGGCAAAGCGCTTCACGCAAATTTGCTGAGCGGAAAATGGTCCAAAGGCAACAGACATGGGCAAAATCTTTGTTAGTCTGACTCTGATATGAATATTTATATATATATACACATACACATACACGGTATACATATAGAGATATAATATATATGCATACATATACTATGTATGAAATTATATATATATACAATATATGAAAAATATAATTGGGTACAGGTACATACTGTGCTCGACTTTTGATGCTGGTCATGTGCGCTTGGACTTCGTGTGATGCTCAAGAGCTCTTGGCGTAAACAGCATTTAACTGAGCGTTGACACAGGAGCTGCAGATATGTAAGCATACGTATATAGGGGAACACTGGCACACTCAAACACACAGACAGACACACATTGCGTCGCATTTATATGTATATATTCACATATATATATATATTATATTCACACACATATATATATATACAGTATGTATATGTGTATATATATATATACAGTATGTATATGTATATATATATATATACATCCGGATGTATTTTGCCCTTGAGCCCATATTGAAAAGATTTGTTGGACTAAAGTTGGGATCAGGCGTCAGCAATAATTCTAGTTGATCCAATGGTTTTTCTCTACATTTTGCAGACCTTTTAGTGATTTTCAACATTAACCCTACCCATAAATCTGCCGGTGGTCTTGACATGTGTTGACCAGCTTCACGCGACCTACAGTCACGAGTATACTACAAGAAAGAGTCACATCCTCACCCTAATGGCTGTCCCGCGTGCGCGGTTGCCTCCTGAAGTGGCCGAGGTGATCCAGGGTTCTCAACACGACAATTGTCCAGATTTGTCAGTCACTTTGTGTCACGAGACACCTGTGCTGATCTGCTCGCCAATTGAAAGATATTTTGGGTATAGGATTGCGGAAATGATTTTGTGAAGTAAGTGAGCCTCATAAATCTGTCGGTGTTTTTCAGAGTGATTGTTTAATGGAATATACGTAGTCTAATCTAATCGTTTTTTTCCAGCCCTTGACATGCTGGGTCGTCCAGCATACCACATCCTTTTAGTCCAATGTGAAAACCTGTGCCAAACCCTTGTGCTTGTGTCAAATATATGTCCTGGTCAGCTTTAGGTGGTGATGTTTGCAAAAAGATTGTTTGCCAATAGACAATTTCGACAATTGATTTGTGCAGCAGGAGTGGACAGATATCTTAAAACCATTCATTCATTCATGCTGTCCTTGAGCAGCTCAAGACTTTCGCATAATTTCTTACTGATGCAATGCGATTCGGAAGTGATCCTCATGGCTGAGATATTGGGTTCCAACTGGGCAAGCCAAAGATAAACAACATCCGGGGCCGGGGCTGCGAGCAGACTAGACAGACATGACAAGTCAATGGTTGGGATGGAACCCTGAATGAGTAGGCTCAGTGCGTGCTGCCAGGGAATGAATGCTACTCGTACTTGTACATTCCAAATGATTCCTTCTTGATCCAAAGAGGGAAGTTTGGGATGGTGCTTCACGCCCGCCACAAATCTTCGTTTTGCCTTGACTTCCAAACGTTATTATTATATCGTCATGACAGCTGGGGAAGGGTTGCATACTGCTTTGAAATGCTCCTGTTTAGCATTTCTGGTAATCCATTCCAGAGAGCATTGTTTGACGGTCATCCTGTGCGATGCAGATCAGCAGGATTCCTCCGATTTGGAGTTTTGGCGTAGTGAAAGCCCCTTGATCGCACCGGTTTCTCCAGTTCATGTATTTCAAACAAATCTGATTGCATAGTTTGTTTGATCTGCGTAGTAGTACCGGTGTTGCACATTGCGATGTGCGTGTGGTGGTAGAGCTCAGGCTGGGTACAACTCTGGAGTGGTCAGCCCTTGAATTTGCCGCCTCCTGGCAGTGCTGCTGACTTGGTGCGCCGTGCTTTGCTGCCTGGCTCCAAAGTCGACTTCCCACAGATCACTGAGCAGCCTGGCAGACAGTGGAAGTGTTCAAACGCATCAGACAACAAGAAAGAACCATGTCGGGCACCGATTTGTTTTACAAGTTTCGTGCATTTTACAAAGCTGTTCCTTTTGCTTTAGAATAAGCAATCCAATTCGTGCACACTTTGTATACCTTGAGAGATTGTCTCAGGATTTGTGATCTTGTTGGAGGCAGCTTTCCGCAGGAAGGTCCAGAGGCAATCAAAGTTCTTGTGACGGCAATGCGGGACAAGGAGAGTTTGCGGAGATGGCGGTGAAAAATGCAGCGGTTTTGTCGGTTTTGGTTATATTACTATATTATGTTCTGATATGTCTTATATGCGTAAAGTACAGGGATTCAGACCGTTTGATGTGTCAATCTGTTGTTTACCTCGTGTTCCTTTACTAGCTTGCAGGACGTTCCATTTCGAAAGAAGCTGAAGGCATTGACCATCACAAACGATTCTTGGCAGATCAGTATCTACAGCACCACCAAGAATCGTTGGTTTCTTTGTCACAAAGAGTTTTTGAGTAGCAAGATCTTCATTTGCTGGGCAAGTGCCAAAAAGGTGCCAGGAAGGCCCCAGCATGCTGCAAAAATCAAATCACTTCGAAATCATTTCACTTGATGCAACGTATCAAACGTTTGTTCCGACAAGTCAATGAGTCTGAGTATTCAACAACAGACGGTCCACTATAGGATGGATGATATTGGATGTATGATTGAAGATTTTCTTGCTTCGCGCTCTTGCCGGCTTCTCGCTATGAGCTCTTTGCAGAAGGCTACCACACAGTATATGCTACTCTTGTTTTTTGGCTTTTCACTTGCCTCGTGTTCCTTTGGCCTGGAAGCTTCTCTACAGGAGATGCTGTATGATGAGCGTGCAGTCTTGGGATTTCGCGAGGCACGGTACCTGTAGCAGTTGTGAGAAATTGGCATGAAGATGCATCGTCGACGGTGTGGGTCTGTTTACAGAGCTTTTGGATTGAGTCACCTGAGAACGCAAGAAGATAGAACGACGTGTCCAACATTGTCCAACCCTTCAACTGAAGCTGTTCCAACATGTTCCAACATGTTTCAAGATGTTCCCGTTCCACGTTTGGCCAGATGCCTGGACTGCAGCCAGCTCTGGCGAACTTGCGGGCGGTAAAAGACTCTGGACTCTCTGAGCAGCATGGATAGCATGGATGGCATGGATAGCATGGAGAAGAGCTAGGGAGATGGCATGACCATGGCATGACTTGCGACATCTTGCGACCGAAAATACGCAAACTAAATGACACTAACAAAGACGTACAAAGACATACAAAGACATACAAAGACTACAGATGGAATGCATCCAACGCAAGACTCAAAAAAGCTCCAGACAGGCTCATGCTTTGCTTGTCCTATTTAGGGTTCATTGGGGGTTTATCATATCACTGATTTACCAGTAGGACCGCGCAAGGCGGTGGCGGAAGTTTCAAAGATAGGAGCACTCCAGGAAACGTTGAGTTTATGGTGTTGATGACGGAGTGACACGTGGTTGGAGTGTTGATGTTTGACTACCACGTTCTGTTGATCTTCTTCATGAACTCGCGTATTCATCCATCTTTCTTTTTGTCTATATATACAATAATATAATATATATATATATTCGTTTATCTGACTGCCTATCTGACTGTTCATCCATCTTGTCTGTCTAGTCTTCAATCTATCAGTCTGTCTCACTATCTAACTGTCAATCCAATCTATCTACCTTGTCTTTCTATCTGTCTATCTATCTGTATGTCTTTCTATTTGTCTATCTATTTTTCTATTTGTCTATCTATCTGTCTGTCTGTCTGTCTGGCTGGCTGGCTGTCTGTCTGTCTGTCTGTCTGTCTTTCTCTCAGTCTCTCCGTCTCTCCGTCTCTCCGTCTCCCCGTCTCTCTGTCTCTCTGTCTCTCTGTCTCTCTTTGTCTATCTTTATCTATCTTGATCTATCTTTATCTGTCTTTATCTATCTGTATCTATCTTTATCTATCTTTATCTATCTTTAGCTATCTTTATCTATATTGTCTATCTTTATCTATCTTGATGTATCTCTATCTATCTTTATCTATCTTGATCTATCTGTATCTATCTTTGTCTATCTTTATCTATCTTAATCTATCTTTATCTATCTTTATCTATCTTTATCTATCTTAATCTATCTTAATCGATCTTTATCTATCTTTACCTTTCTTTATCTATCTTTATCTATCTTTATATATCTTAATCTATCTTTATGTATATCTATCTATCTTGATCACTCTTTATCTATCTTTATCTATCTTTATCTATCTTTAGCTATCTGTATCTACCTTTATCTATCTTTATCGCTCTATGTATCTATCTATGTATCTATCTATGTATCTATCTATGTATCTATCCATCTATCTATCTATGTATCTATCTATGTATCTATCAAATCCTACCTAATCCTATCTAATCCTATAGATCTAATCCTATCTAATCCTATCTAATCCTATCTAATCCTATCTAATCCTATCTAATCCTATCTAATCCTATCTAATCCTATCTAATCCTAACTGTCTACCTGTCTATCTGTCTAACTGTCTTTCTATCTACCTATCTATCTATCAATCAATCAGTCAATTTATCTATCAATCTATCAATCTATCAATCTAACAATCTATCAATCTAACCTAACCTAACCTAACCTAACCTAATCTAATCTAATCTAATCTAACGTAATCTAATCTAATCTAACCTAATCTAATCTAATCGAATCTAACCTAATCTAATCTAATCTAATCTATCTTTCTATCTATCTTTCTATCTTTCTTTCTATGCCTTTCTATTCCTATCTATCCCTATCTATCCCTATCTATCCCTATCTGTCCCTATCTATTCCTATCTATTCCTTTCTATTCCAATCTATTCCAATCTATTCCTATCTATTCCTATCCATTCCTACCTATTCCTATCTATTCCCATCTATTCCTGTCTATTCCTATCTATTCCTACCTATTCCTATCTATTCTGATCTATTCCCATCTATTCCTATCTATTCCTATCTGTTCCTATCTATTCCTATCTATTCCTACCTATTTTTACCTATATCTATCTAAATCGATCTAATCTAATCTAATCTATTCTATTCGATTCTATACTTTTATTCCTTCTATTCTATTCTATTCGATCTATCTATCTTTCTATTCTATTCTATCAAATCTTATCTAATCTGTTTTAGTTTCGACTGTGTAGTACAGAGCTTGCACAAAGGCTTTCCCAGTACTACACAGACAGACACAGAGAAAAGAACCTGCGCAAGCAACATAACAGGTTTTTAGTTTCGACTGTGTAGTACAGAGCTTGTACAAAGGCTTTCCCAGTACTACACAGACAGACACAGACAGACATAGACAGACACAGACAGACACAGACAAGGACAGACAGAAGGGTTAGTATTCTATCAATCTATCTATCAATCTATCAATCTGTCTATCTGTCTATTTGTCTATCTGTCTATGTCTATCTGTCTATGTCTATCTGTCTATCTGTCTATCTGTCTGTTTGTCTATCTGTCTATCTATCTATGTATCTATCTATCTATCTATCTGCCTTATCTCATCTGATCTAATCTAATCTAGTCTAATCTAGTCTTATCTTCTCTAATCTGTCTGTCTGTGTCTGTGTCTGTGTCTCTGTCTGTGTCTGTGTCTGTGTCTGTCTCTGTGTCTGTCTCTGTCTGTCTGCCTGCCTGTTGATTTTTCGACAGCTCAACGTCCAAAAGTGGTGCGAAAGTGGTGTGTTTTCACTAGGACCGAAATGTGCTTTGCGCCACAACGCTGCGCACTTTTTCGACATCCCAATGTCCAAACGTGGTCTGGGACCGTCCGTTTTTAACACTTTTGAGTTGCAAACGCGTTTCGCGCCAGAACCTGGTGTGTTTTCAGCATTTTGACTTCGAAAGGTGCTTCGCGCCACAGCTGCGTGCACTTTTTCAACGTCCCAACGCCCAAAAGTGCTCCTGACCTGACAAGCTTTGCCCATTTTGACTTCGAAATATGGCTCGAACCACGGGCGCCTGCGCTTTTTCCACATCTCAACTTCCAAAAGTGGTCCGAGACCGAGGGTTTTTTAGCATTTTGATTCGAAATGTGCTTCGCGCTGCAGCGGCGTGCAAATTTTGATATTTCCATACGACCAGATGGCTCCGCACCCTCCATCTTCTGTCTACTGAGTCTACTGACTCTTTCTCTGCTGGCTCTTTCTTTTCTTTGACTGCTCGCACCACTGTTGCTGCATCTGTCTTTCAGTCGGAACTTTGACTTCTAAACTTCCTTCGGTTATATACATATTTTCCTTTCAAGAGCATCTAAGTAAAGAAATGCAATACTAGTACGTCGCATTTTGAAACATCAATGTTTGCAATAACCTTCTACTAGCCGGACCTTGCCCAACAATTGCCCAGCGGGGAACGGTCAGTTTGATGAATAATTCTTTTTGTGGTTGGGTTTGTGGTGATCGGTTGTAGCGTCGCTTTTTGGAAGTCTTGGATTATATATTTATGTGGTTTCTTTCTTGCGAGTCTCGTTGAGCAGTTCGCATTGTTTTGAATGACGGTTGTTTTTTTGCGATATCCTTTGATGTTTTTTTCGTGATTGAGTGCTAGGTTTTCTTATGAATTGTTATTTTTGGTTAGTGCTATGACATTTTTGCTGGGGTTGTTGGGTTCCGGGTTCAAGGTGTGGAAGGTGGGTAAGCCAACTTCTAATGATTCTAATTCGATTCAAACCGCAGCAACCCCCAGAACTGTCCATGGCACTAAGGTATGTGGATGAAAATCTCCGCATGCTGGCAACTGAAGTTGACAAGGCCAGGCTTAGGAAAAGTCGGTAGGGGGCTTTGCCACCTGACTTTTTGCAACCCTTTGAAATGATACTGCAATCAAAGTGGATCTAATGAGGTTTTTTCTTGCAGCACGTCTTAAGTTTCTCACTTGTCTCCCAGTCTTCCTTCTTGGATTGTTTGTACATGATTCCATGTGAAGTGCAGGCGCTGGCCTGAATAATTTTATAATTTGTGCCTTTTTCTTGACTTCCCTCCCAGCTGGTCTCCGAGTCTTGTTGTTGCCAGCTTGTTTTCGTCGAGTGACCAAGGGGGTGCAGTCTTCAAAATTTTCTCTTTCAGTCCTGACTTTTTGCGAAAGCCGAAGGCTTTAGCTTTTGCAGCCAAAGTTAGTATTGGGTGCGGGGTGGGGTTACCTCAAGGCATTTTGGAGCAAGCGTAGTCTCAGGGATTGGCAAACTGAGGGTCCGAGCATTGTGTTTTTTGGATGCGTGGCTTAAGAGCCCTACGCAGCGGTTTGTGACTTTTTCCATCATTAGATTTTTGGTTAGTTTTGCGGGTGTTGGTAGAAGAGAATATACTGTTTTTGGTTTGTTGGCAAGTTTTTTGAATTAATCTTTATCAATGCATCGTAAGACACGTCTATTGCCTGTCTTTTATCCTTGCTTCCACATCAGTTTGGCGATTTCTGGGAAGGCTTCTTGCCCATCGCCAGATGTTGTGCATCATATCCAAAAAGTGGGTGTTGGCGCTGGAAGTTGTTTTGTCTTTGGACAGTTTTAACGCCTTGACCGTGGGAGGGCCTATGTGCGATTAAGACTTTGAGTTCCTGCAACAACCGTGCCTTTCCCGTTGGAGAATTCATTTTTCTGATGATTGACTTGGATGGAAGTATTTCTTCTTAGTTGGCCCTGGACTCTGGACATCCCAAAGCACCGTCTGTGCGAAGCACAGTTTGTGCAGGGCGAACCGTGAGAAGATCTTTGTCAACAGTTTTGTGCATCAAGTATGTGAAGTGCAACTGAACGTTCCGTAGCGTAGCATCAAACATGTGTGCAAGTGCATTCCTTGAACGCAGCTGAACGTCATTGTCGAACTGATGCCCACTCAAAACTACGGTATGTACACGTTGTTTTTCTGTTGGAGCTTGTACGCTGATGGAGAAACCGCTGCTGCAAATAAAACAGCAGTGTTTCGACGATCTTGGGAGCTAGAACATGTGGCGTTATAGAAATGTCAAATCACTGTGCACAACATTTTCTTGAAGGTGTCTGAGCTGTTCTACATTTCATCACTCAGACTCTTCACTTCCCTAAACTGGTCAAAAGAGCTGCGCATGTTCAACTGGAAAGACATCCGACAAATTTCAAAAAGTCAAAAAGTGAAAAGTCCAACAGTATACTTTTCGACTTTTCGACTTCGAAATTCAGAATGGCGCCGTTCCACTTTTCGACTTTTCAACTTTTCGAAATTGACAATGAAGCTTTTTCACTTTTCACCTTTCTACTTTTCGAATTTTCCTGTGACTTGTTCGACTTTTAGCTTTTCCTCTCAAACTGTTGTTTGCCTTTACAATGTAAGAACACTTGCTCCGAGAAAGACGTGTCCAGCAAAAAAACAAAAGCTAAAAAGTGAAAAAATGTTTCCACGCAAACACATGTTATGCTTGAATTGGGAATACATTCAAATACAACATGCATGTTTAATCATATTATATTTAACTATATATATATATATTATATATATATATCAGCACCACTGTCGCCGGCAGTTTTGACAGATGGCGATTTGCAATGGAAAAGTATAACTATATTTATATATGTATATACGGAGTTTTACGTATACATGTATGTGTACATATATATATACACATATACGCATATATATATATGTTCATACGCATATATACATATATATATACATATGTATATATATATATATGTTTGCGTATGTGCATATGCAGAATCATTTAAAGACAAATTTGTTTGTATATATATATATTTAAATACCTTTATACAGTATACACTAACAAATATAGGTATACATATTTCATATGTTTTAAGCATGTGCACACATACCTAAATATGCATATATATATATAAATCTTATAATATATAATATGTAACATGTAGTATCTAATATGTAATATAATAACAAATGCTTTTTAAGATAATCATATGAAATATATCATATATAGTATGAATTTTGTAATATTTCAAATAAACTATTTACAACTAAATGTGTAATATATAAAATAATATATAAAATAAGATATAAAATAATATATCAAATAATATATAAAATAAAATATATTATGTAATATTGACTATATAATATAGTATTTAATATTGAATATATAATATGCAGTATGTAATTTTTAATATGTAATATATAATACTTTTGATTTTATATATCATGTATCATGATAATCTTTTCTATAATATTAAAAACATAATGTTTAATATATCATATATCATATGTGACGAATCATACAGTATAAATAATATTTCATATATTATCTCTTATTGAGTATATAATGGATAATATATAAGATTATATATGATATGTTTTATATAATATATATATGATGTGTTTTTTATGATATATAACATTTTGTGTTTGATATTTGATATTTAATATATATATACACTTAATACACAATATCATATATTTATTAAATATGTTTATAATGATATGCATATTAAATAGATATTGTATATTTTCAATATATAAATAATTTTATATGTAATATATAATAGAATATTTTTAGTATATAATATTTAACATATAGTTTAATATATGATAAATACCCGATAGTATATATATATATTAAAACATATTTACATAAATATAATATATTTACATATATATAATATATTTACATATATATAATATATTTGCATATATATATAATATATTTACATATATATAATATTCACATATATATAGTACATATATATACATAATATGTGATATATATAATATTTTACATATATATATAATATTTACATATATATTATACATATATGTATTTAAAATGTAATATTTAATATATAATATTTAATACATAATATAGAATACATATCACATAATATAGTATCTATAGTTTGATAAATGATGTTTAATATAAAATAGATTATATTTTGTATTTAATGTATAATATATATATAATGTATATTTTACAATATTTACTAAAAGTATAATATAATTTATATAATATGAATATAAATTATATTGATATTTGTATTTTTACACATATATATGTATATTTCTATGAGTTAATTATGTGTGCTTAATATTGAATTATGTTTATTAGTACATGTATATGTATCTATATACTTGGTTTGTATGCAGATATATTCTTGCATACATACATACATACATACATACATACATACATACATACATACATACATACATACACATACATAGACATACATAGACATACATAGACATACATAGACATACATACACATACATACACATACATACACATACATACACATACATACACATACATACGCATACATACACATACATACACACGCATATATATGTATATATATGTACACATGATGATACATGTGCATACTGTATTTGAGTGCGATCATACCCGCGCCCAGATACAGTACTGGATATTTCGGCAAATTCAAACCAGGGAAATGAGATCCTTCCTTCCCTTAATACAAGGAAATATAAACACATATGATTTGACCTAATCGATGTTTCGGGAATTGAAAGAAAGAAAATAAGGTCCTTATTTCCCTAAAAGTCAAGAAAAGACTTATTGTTTTGAACTACTCCATGTTACGGGAAAGAAGAGAAATAAGACCCTTATTTTCCTTAATAGACGTAAAAGAAAAGACCCATAATGATTAGTTGAACTATTCCATGCTTCGGGAAATGAAAGCAGGAAAATAAGATCTCTATTTCTTCAAATATAAATCAAGAAAAGCAAATGTTATTTGAACTGCTCGATGCTGCCGAAAATGAAAGAAGGGAAATATGGTCCTTATTTCCCCTCATACAAGCAGAGAGAAACCACAGGAAATAAGATCCTTATTTCCCTTAATATAGGTCAAGAAAGAACAGATATCATTTGATTTGCTGGATGTTTCCCGAAAAGAAGGAAGGTAAGATCCTTATTTCCCTTGATACAAGAAAAACCACAGATTATTTGAATTACTCCCTGTGTCGGGAAATGGACGCAAGGAAATGAGATGCCTTTTTCCTAATATAAGCCAAGAATAATACATATTGTTTGAACGACTCCATGGTGCCGGAAATGAAGACAGGAAAATACGATTCTTATTTCCCCTGATATAAATCAATATTGCATGCTGCCGAAAACGAAAGAAGGGAAATGAGGTCCTTATTTCCCCTCATGTAAGCAGAGAGAACCCGCATAATATGTGCATTACGCGATGTTGCTTGGGACAATGAAAGAAGCGAAATCAGATCCTTATTTCCCCTAATACAAATAAACAATAGACATCTTGTTTGAACTACTCCATGTTTTGGGAAAGAAAGAGGATAAAGATCCTTATTTCCCTTATAAGTCAGGAAAAGACATATTGTTTGAACTACTCCATGTTACGGGAAAGAAGGGAAATAAGACCCTTATTTCCCTTAATGTACGTAAAGACAAGACACACAATCGTTAGTTGAACTATTCCTTGCTTCGGTAAAGAAGGAAAGTAAGATCCTTATTTCCGCCCATATAAGCAGAAAAAAAAAACGTATTTGCAGTACCCGATGTTTCGGGAAATAGAAGAAGGGAAATACGATGCTTTTTCCCCACATGGAATTTTAAAGAACAGCACATATTATGTCTACTTGAAGCTTAGGTATAAGTGCTACTTTTGGGGACATGTGGGGAATGCTTGTAGGATCCGGGGCTCAAAGCCAAAGCAGCTGTTGGCTGGGGTGCCCCACAATGTACCGTTTACTGATCTTTTCGGTGACGGTGTGCAATGGATGGTGGCTGGGTTCGCACCGATCCCAGGCCCCACCTGTGCCCCCGACGTGGTGGGACAATCTAGGGGACGCGTTCCCTGACACGCGTCGGAACCTGGATGGCTGGCGGGATTGGGGGTCCATGAAGTGGGAGGCGGCGAAGGACGTCACCAGGGATTGGGACCCGACCCGTTGGGAGTATGGACTATGGATGTTCATTGACACCTTCGTCAGTTTCGGCGGTTGGTTGATTTTTGGGTCATCGTGGAGCGGGGTGAGAACCGGGCGCAGACGATTGGCACAGGTCTGTCTGCTTCTTACCCTGTGCTTGGCGGCGCACTACATTTGTGCAGTTTGCTACCCCGTGGTTTCTATTCTGGTAGGGCTCATCATGGCTGTAATCTGGATCCTGCGACGGATGCTACGTACGGTGGGGACCATCTTTTTCCATGCTCAGAGGCTGGTGGGATTGGCTCCAGAAGCCGCCGACGTTGACTTCGTTGGACCTGGGACCGGGGCTGTACCCGAAACGGCATCACTACGTGGCTTTAAGAGGTCAGGCGACCAGGCGAAGCTCATTGTGGTCAGGCGTGGTACGGCGACTGCAGTTTTTGGTTTGGGCAGCGAATCACAGAGCATTAGGACACACGGTCTCTATGTCCCCGTGGAGCCGGACACGGTCAGGGGGGATCAAAGTCTGGTGGAGCGGCTCAAGAATGCAGATCGAGTTCATCTATGTCGCAACATCGCTTGCACCGAGGAGGGAGGAGAGCACTTCGTGGAGTACGGGATTGTGAAGAAGTTCAACCCGGAGCGATTCCAGTCTGCCCAAGCTCACAAGGGCGCTTTGGACGCTGGGAAGACCGTGTGGGCCTGGCTCAAGCCAGATGTTGGAGCGGGTGTCACACGACTGGTGGGAAAGGTGAAGGAGTATGCATCCGAATCTGAAGCTGAGGATACTGTCCCATGCATAGCTGGATCCATCCGCTGGAACGGACAGAATGGAGTTGAGTGCTTGGCTCCTAGTCGTTGTACAGCTGCAGGGTCTGTGTTTCACCAAGTTTTGCATGAAGACGTACCTGAAGGTATGCAGGAGGTAGGACTTTGCCCCAAGCATTCAACCCAGCACATGTCCCAAAGAACTCCCATGAAATGTTGTGTCATTGGGTGTTTTCATGAGGGTACCAAGCTTCGATCTAGTGTTCGCTGGTGTGTGGAACATTGCCCCTGTGATACTCGGCCTCCTCTACGTCACGGAGAAGTAGATCGAGATCTCGAGCTCGGGTTCAGGACGAAGGGCACCAGACTGCCGCAGAGGAGGTCGAGGACGGGTATGAGGACGACGAGGACAACGGCACCAGTTTGGCCCAGTCACTACTGCGAGAGGCGGCAGATGCAGGAGCCCCTAGTGCCAGAGCCAGGAAAAGGCCGCCCTCGCGATCTCCCGGGCATACGCCCAAAGCCGGGATCAACAAACACTTGGCCAAGATTGGGATGCTGGACTCCCCAAACGTCGATGCGGGACGTGGCCTGTTGGAGAAATTCATGGAGAAGTATGCCATGAACCGAGATGAAGGAGTTCGAGAAGACCAGGTGCGTGCCCGACTTTGCCAAGAACACCTCATGACCAACCGGGAGATGCTCACGGAGTTGATCAAAGAGGCTGAGGACGAGCAAGGACGAGGGCAACGCGGGCTGACGAGATTTCTCAACTGTTGGAGACGTGCAGTGGAACAAGACGCCAGGGAAAATCCAGGACGGTCTGACTCGGATTGGAGTATGATTGGAGGCAAGGCTGAGACCCCCTTGACGAGCCCAGAGCAGGTCTCTTATCCGCCGGTCCCTGCTTCATTAAAAAGACCTGAGGCTGTTGAGACCCCCAAGGATCAGAAGGAGGAGAGATTGCAGATGGGCTTGGCCAACAGTGGAGGCATGGCACATCTCTCCGGCAGATCGAACCGTGAAGGAGGGCAACCAGAGATCAAGGTTGCTCCCCCGGGCCTGTACAAGAATGATCGCAAAGCAGGAACCGGTGAAGCCACTGAACCGATGGAGCACATCGCACGGGCCATCCAGAGTCAGACAGCGGAGTTAGCTACGTTAGTACGACATCAAGCCGAAGGAGGAGGAGCTCAACCCCCGGGGACGATTCGAGGCTTGAATCGGCAGTCGGAGGAGCTCGTGTTCTTGATGAGAGCTTGCGGCCAGTACAACATCCAGGTTGGAGCCGGAGAACATGGTCAGGCGTTGGCCAACAGCTTGCTGGCAGCCCAAGTGGGGGCATCGACGAAGCTGAGAGCCGCCGGGTTCCGCCAGAGAATGACTACAAGGCTGGCGGTGGGCATTGCCGGCCCGTTCTGGGGCTCCAATGAGAAGTACGCACTTTCAGCATCTGACTTCCTGAGCTTCACCGATGCGGAGTTGGACCAGTTTGCATCGGAGAACAAGACGGTCAAAGGGGCCAGCGACCAGAGACCACCCCCGCCAAGCAGGTTTGATGAATGGGTGGCAAGAGTGAGGAGACAAACTGATGTCTGGTGCTTGGTCTATGGGGAGGAATGGAGAACCGTGAGGACATCGGCAGTTGAGCTCTTGTCGCAATGGCACCTGGCGTACCCCCATCGATGGCCTCTACACATCGTGATGGACCTGTGGGAAGAACTCTCTTGGCGCCTCATGGAAGACTTCAAAGAGATCTTGAGAAGATTGAAGAAGGAGGTGGGAAGGGAGACATTGACCCTCAACGAGCTGCGGTTCCATGCTCTTCTCCCAGGACCCGACGGTCAGGCCTGGCTCCAGATGCCCACAACGTTTGACCTGGAGAGACCAGATTCATGGTTTCAGACAGAGGTGATCCCCCGCATCGAGAGGAAGCAGGAGAGGCTTTTGTGGAACTTGACCTGGCAGAACGGGGCTAGGCGGGAACGTCCACAACCGCCCAATGCTCCTACCGCCGGAGGTGCAGACCCTGACAAGCCCACACTGAAGAGTCTGTGGGGCCCCAAACTCACCAATGAGGAGGTCAATAAGGCCAAGGAACGGGCACCTCTGGACAAGAGTGGCAACCTCCTATGCTGGGGAAATCTGTGCCACATTGGGTGCTCGGCAACCAATTGCCAGAGGTCGCATGATGGACTGAGAGGCACCTTCGAGAGTCTTGACCCGTGTGTCCAGATGCAGATGCTGAAGAGAGGAGGCCTCAGAAGGATGAAGATTGAGACCAAGGACAGCGTCAACCACAAGATCAAGGAGATCCGGCAGCGGGTCGAGAGGGATCGGAACGACAAGATCCAAGATGGGAAAAAGAAGGACGGCAGAGCAGGTGAGAAGGAGGCTGCAGACCCCCAGGAGGATGGTGCCAAGGCAGGAGGATGCAGCAGAACGGTGAGGTTCTGGGATGTGCCAGAAGAGTTCAAGGTCGACTACACCCCACAAGAGGATATCAAGGAGTTGGTGGCAGGGCCGAACCGAGCTTGGGAGGAAGACGCCTACAAACCCAGAGTCCAAGATGGAGGAAGAGGAGGTGAGAGCGCACCTGAGGAGGCCCGGAGGCTGGTTCAAGAGGCGCAGAACTTGGGAGAGTCTGCTACCCTGAAGAGACTGGAAGGGGCGTCGGATGACTTGTATGCATGGGCGGCCGCACGCGTCGCAAGAGACCCTGGAGTTGACACCCTGACACCAACACTTTGCTGTCAGAAATGGCGACCTATGGGTTGGGTGAAGTGGCGAGAGAGGCTGCAGACCTTTTGGAGGAGAACCCCAATGCTAAGGCGGGCTCAAGCAGGCTGGAGATCAGTGAAGTTAAATGGTCCGAAGGATGCCCTGGAGGAGGAACTATGACTTTGGATGGACATGTGTGGGAAAACTGGGACTTCAAAGAGGAGGTCTTTATGACAGAGGAGTTGGCCTCCCTCCTGAAGGTGCCGGAACCCGTGGCGGAGAAGCGACAGTGTGTCACCCTCGCTGTAGCCGCCGCTGTTCTATGGGATGAACAGGGAAGAAGGCCAGAAGCGGCTGAGGTCCAGAGGAGAGCACAGGACTATCGCCTGGAACAGACCAGGCTGGCGGTGGAGGCGGCGCAGGTCTTGGGCGACGCAGAGGAGATCGTCACGGCGATCGAGCACGAGATGAGGGTCTATGTGCACGACCTGACCACCGCCCACCACGAGAAGGACTTCAGAAGTCTTGCAGTTTTTCCCATCAACGACCTTCAGGAGGCCAAGGTGGTAGTACTCAGAACGGATTATCGTGGAGGGGTCATCGTGGAGAGCGTCGTGGGGCCGAGTTGGAAACCAGGAGGAACAACAGCCTGGGTTTTGATCCACAAGGGCCACATGACCCTGGTGAGACCACCGACCGAAGAAGTGGGAAACCGTCTGTTGGAAGAGGAGGAGCACACTACGACACCAGCATTTGGCTTTACCTTCTTCTGGCATAGCAGGCACGATCAAGCACCCACGTCACCGGGACGGACCCATTGCAGGCTGTGTAGAACTACCAGAAAGGCAGGGACGTGGACTGACTGCTACAGGCCCTATAGTTGTCTGGCACTGGTCGCGGCGGTTGCAGGAACCAATGAAGGAACTCAAGTTGTCCGAGGTGTTCGAGCTGCGGGACCCCCATACCAGAAGAACGAGCTGGTCATGCAGGAAGTCTTTGCTGGATCTGGCCGTATCACTGCCAAGTGGAAGGAGACGGCACCTGCTGAGGAACCGATCGAAGTGTTCGAGGAGCCCCACCGACGAAGAGGATACCGCCAGGACCATGACCTTCTACTTCCAGCCAATCGAGCGAAGGTCAAGGACAGGGCCAAGGTTGGACCAGCAAATGTGTGGTGGCTTGCAGCCCCTTGCACCAGTTTTTGCGATTGGCAGCTGCAGAACCAAGGGAGTCGAACATTCCCAGAACCCGAGGGAGGCAAAGAAGGGCCACAACAGCAACGAGAACTTGATGGGAACAGTTTGTCGGTTACTTTGTGAGGTCTTGTTACCCCACAGCAATGCAGAGTGTGCTGAGGGCCAAGGAATGGAAAGACCAGGCATGGGTTCACCGACACCCTCCTACTCGAGAGCGGCATTCCGAGAGAACACATGCTGCCGAACCCGGTGGGGCTTTACTACTGGGAGGATGGAGGAGAGCGTCACACCTGCCATGGGGTCGGGGGGCCAGCTTTGTGGCCGAAGTGGTCAGAAGAGACGAAGAGTTTTGCCGACATCTACGTCCATGACAGAAGGGGTCCCCCGGGCCATTTGAGGAGATTGCAGAAGGAAGAGATCTGGATGTTGCAAGGAAGACATCCCAGCGACTTCAAGGTTTTGGGTGGTGAGCATGAAGTTGATCGGATGATTGATGAGGGATGCAGAGCCACGGGAGGTCAGACCGCGGCGAACCTTTTGGCTGGTGCTGGCGCTTTGGTCAGCAAGGCCATCGAACAGGAGGCAGGCAAGGCTGGAGCCAGCTCAGACCAGATGGGAGCGGAAGCACTTGCCCAGATTCTCCTTTGGTTGAGGAGGTGGCGACGAGGAGACTTTGGCAAGCCCTTCGACCATCGCAAGGCAGGAGCAGAAGCAGAGAGAGGACGTGTGTTCCGCTGGGTCGAGGCATGGTGGATTGGCATGCTGGAGCCGGAGGAACCGGATGAGGATGACAATCGCAAGGCAGGAGGTCGTCGGAGGACAACACAGGAAGTCGCAGAACAAGTGGCGAAGAAGGTTGT